GGTGAACCAGAGGGAGGGACCAGGGTGAACCAGAGGGAGAGACCATGGGTGAACCAGAGGGAGGGACCAGGGTGAACCAGAGGGAGGGACCAGGGTGAACCAGAGGGAGGGACCATGGGTGAACCAGAGGGAGAGATCATTGGTGAACCAGAGGGAGGGACCATGGGTGAACCAGAGGGAGAGACCATGGTGAACCAGAGGGAGGGACCATGGGTGAACCAGAGGGAGGGACCATGGGTGAACCAGAGGGAGGGACCAGGGTGAACCAGAGGGAGGGACCAGGGTGAACCAGAGGGAGGGACCGGGGGTAAGACACAGGTAAGGACCAGGAGAGAACCACAGGTAGGGACCAGGGGTGTCCCAGAGGGAGCCTGTCAGCTGGGATGCCCACACTCGTCCACCATCCAAGGCCTCCGCCCAGGTCATGCCATATGCAGCCCCCAGCAGTAAAATGCAGAACTCGATGGAAAAGAGGAACCAGAGGGTCCCGAGCTAGAGGAAGAGAAGGAGGGGCACAGAAGGCCCAGGAGGGCAAGAGGAGCCCACACCCTGATCCCAGCACACCACCTCAGCCTTGGGGACAGCGGCTGGCCACTGGCTGGACAACATCTTCAATCAAAGTCTCTGGCAGATTCCCAGCCCAAGAAGAAGGACTGGGGGCTGCAGTGGCAGATGCTGAGGGGAGGGGGCCGAGGCCGTGGGCACAAAAGGCCCGACGCACAGGCCCAGGCCACAGTGTCTGCCCCCCTCCTCAGAGCCTGCTTCCTGATGCAGAGAGGTGGGTGGGTACCGCCGGGGCCAGAGACCCCAGCCGTCTCTGACGATATGGACATCTGCAGTGTCTGATCCAGCTGACCCGCGCGCTGCAGAGGGCTCGTCCTTCCAAGTGCTGATGGAACAGTCCCCCATGCTGCCCCCACCTGCCTTGGCATGACCCAGCCAGTGCCTGCTCCCAGGCCAGCGACAGCAAGTCAGGGTGTTTTGGTGCTGGGGATGGAACCCAGGGGTGCTCTCCCACTAAGCCACATCCATGGTCCTTTTAATTTTTTATTTTGAGAAAGGGTCTTGCTGAGCTTCCCAAGCTGGTCTTAAATCTGGGGTTTCACGTGTGAGCTGGGGCACTGGCTTGATAGCCGTTAAAATAGCTAAAAACCACCTGACGCCTGGAAATACAGAAGCACGTTTCTGCCTCACGTGGGGCAAAGAAAACCTGGGAATGGAGACAGCAGGCATCTGGCCCGGAGGGTGGCCAGAGTCGGCTCCAAACACCAGCCAGCCCCAGCCACCCAGCCCCGCCGCAGGGAAGCTGTCAGACAGCGAGGCCAGGCCCAGTTTGTGCAGCTAGGAGAGGAAGGGACAGAGGAGCGTCACCACGCTCCCCGCATGGGGCAGAGGCGGAAGAAGAGGGAAGGGCGGCCAGCAGGTGGGCTCCCGTCACCACAGCCCAGGAAGCCGGTGTCACTTGTGCAGTGCCACACAGGTCCCAGAGCCAGCCATCTGCTGAAGTGACAGCAGTGTCCTCACTGGGCACTTCTGGGATCAGGCTGTTACTGACAAAGAAATGAACAGAAATGCTAAACACAGCCCAACTGTGGGGGGACCTACTCAGGAATTCTAAACCACAGAAGGAACAGGGCCACGACCCGGGAGCAGGCCCTCCTCTTCAGGGCTAGAAAAAGGACCTGATGAAGCTCAAGCCAAAGAGGAAAGAACACGGCAGAGGGTTGGCAGAAAGGAGGGCCACAGGAAGTCAGCGTCCTTGGCCAGGAAGGGACAGCTAGCCGAGCAGCACCCAAAGGCCCAGCGACCAGCACCAAGGAATCGAGACGGTCCTGAGCAGTTCTCGGAACAGGGAACCAGAATTCTATCAGACGTGGACAAGTTTCTCAGGGAGAGATTCACCAAAACCGATTCCCAAAGAAAAGGAAACTTCACCCACGATAAAATTGATCCATCAGCAAAAATAACAGCCCTCAGATAAAAGCAAAAACCAGAGCCCCAGGCCACACGTCACCACCAGCAGTCCCACCTGAGGCCAGGTCGGGAGTGCCTGGGCTCTGAACAGAGGCTATCCTGAGTCTAGGTATGTGCCACCTGCCCCACCCAAACCTGGCCCCTAGGGCTGGGCGACTGGAGGGTTACTTGATGTCTCTGCGCTCCTTGACCAGGAGGAGAACCATGGCCACCCCTCAGAGTGTGCCGTGTGCACTGGGCCCTCACCCCTCTCCACAGGCCGCACCAGCACCTCACCTTCGAGACCTGGAGGACGGCAGGAGCCAGCAGAAGCAGACCCCACTGCCCTGCCTCCCTGCAAACTGGCTTCTAGCACCAGGCACTGAAGGCTGTAGGAGTCCAGAGAATGGGCTATTTCCTGCTCCCAAAGCCCACCAAAGCTGGCACTGGGCAACTCGTCATGCTGCAAGGGTCAGGGGGCGGGAGGAGCCCTACGGGACCCCAGCCTGGGCCCTAAGTAGGTCTGTGTCCTCCTCCCTGCATCCAGCAGAGCCCAGAGTCTCAGCAGGCTGGGCCATGCACTCCACCATTACTAGTGCACACAGCCTTCTTTTCCAGCATGGCCAAGAGGAATGACCACTTGGGGCCTCCTCACTGGGCCTCTCCAGCATCATGAAGCCCAGTACAAGGCACTCAGCTGCAGAGATGGCCACAGCTATCTGCATGGTTCACAGCCACTCACCCAGGTGGCCATAGCCCACCACATGCCTGGCTTGTGAGCCAAGGCGGGCACGCAGGTCAGGCACCAGGTCGTAGAGCCGCTCCACGGGGAGGGACACGTCATACTTGTACACATAGCCATCCCGGCTCAGTGCCTCCGTTATCCTCTCCCGCAGGGCCCACAGCGCCTAGGGCGAGAGAAGGAGCTGTCAAGACAGGGCTCGGCTGGGCCCCTGTGCCCAGCACAGTTAGCAAGTCCCACATTCCCGGAGGTACAGGCATCGGGACCATGACCCAGGACCAGCCACAGGCTCATCCACAGCAGGACTAAGCACCGAGGGACCCTAGGCTTCGAGATGCCCAGAAGGGGAGAGCAGCAGGCACAGCTCCCAGGGACAAGCAGCTGGGCAGGGCTGCTGCATGGGGCCAGGGATGCTGGAATCCAGGTGGGGGCAGGGATGGGGCATGAAGGGGTAGGCAGTGCCATAGAGGACCCAGCTTCAGGTCCGGGGCTGCTGAAGGGACCTGTGGGTGGGGTAGGGATGGGAGGGGTGGAGCACTGGCGGCTGGAACAGAGAAGCTGAGGTGGAGCAGGCAGAGCACTCCAGGGTGGGCATGGGCGGGGGCTGAGGGAGTGCCCCAGGGTGGGCAAGGGCCAGGGGCTGGTGGGGGTGCCAGGGGGAGGGGCACTGGCCAGGGCGGGGGGAGCGCCCTGGGTTGGGCATGGGCCAGGGGCTGGGGGGCAGCATGGGATGGGCCAGAGCTGGGGGGGTACTCCAGGGTGGGGATGGGCCAGGGCTGGTGGGGGATAACCCAGGATGGGCATGGGCTGGGGCTGTGGGGTCGCCCATCCACAAATATCCCTTCAATTCCCAAAAGGCTCTTGTTCCCACACCCAGAACCCAGTCACCTGGTGGCCTTCTTGGTTTTCTCCTGCGATTGGAAATCTGGAGCCAGCAGGAGCCAGCAGGCCAGCAGGCCCTGAACCACCCCCAGACCCTGACCCCTATCGATGCTGGCCGGAGAGACCCTCACCTTCAGGGCACATATCAAGTGAAGTCTCAGAAAGATCAGAACTTTCAATGCTGAAAAGCCAACAGTTCCACCAGCCACCCACCCTGAGTCCCACCGCAGCTCTTGACCAGCTCCTCTAGCCCCACCCCCGCAAGTCCAGCCCTCAGGAGGGTCCTCATGGACACTATGGCCCTCAGGCTCTTCACCAGGACACCCTCTGCTCATCCCAGCAGCTACAACATCTGCTCTCCCTGCCTGCCACCCCTACCCCTCGGCTCCAGGCCCTCCACCCCTGGAACATTCTGGAACATGCAGGAACTGGAACTCGCTGCTCCGGCATCACCAGCCTGGCTCGGGCATCAACCTAGACTGGACCAGGATAAGGAGGGCTGGGGGCAAGCGTCCAAGGAAACTGGTGGCCGGTCACGCAGGCCGGTGGGTGCCTCCATCTGCTGCCCTCCCCAGAGAGGCCCTGTGCTGGCTCATGCCACCTCAGGCCAGCAGCCTGCAGCCCCTGATCCTCCCCTCTCAGAGCCTGGAAGGCAGGTGCTGTGGCCAGGCCCCAGTACGGGGTACGTGAAGTGGAGCTCATGACCAGAGGGAAAGGACAGCTCTGGCCACAGCATCTGCCCAGCCAACCAGGGGTCACAGGGGCACGCAGAGACTCCTGGCGGGTGCAGATGGACTCGCAGTCCTGGGCCAGCAGGCGGCCAGCCAGCACCCTGCTCAGAACTCTGGCCTCCCTCTTCCCCAAGGGCAGGATCACCACCTGAGGGGAGGGGTCATGGAGCCGAAGCCAGCAAGGGCAGAGGCCATGGAGAGCAGACTCACCTCAGGGGGCTCACGGCTAAAGGCAGCCTGTGGGTGCCCTGCAGAGCTTTAGGAGACACAGCAGCTGGCGGCAGAGTTCATAAGGAGCTCTTCCCACCTGGCCAAAGCCCCATCCCACAGCAGGAGACCCTGACTCAGCCCCAGAGCCCTGACACACCTTCTGTCCCCTGCTGGCCACTCACCACAGACAAGGAATCCCCATGGCCAGGGTCCTAGGGAGGCCCCATGGCTCCCACTGGGCCCTCCTCCTTCTCCTTCCTCTGCCCTCCAGGGTGAAGGTTTCTGGCAAGAGCAGAACCTCTTCCCCCGGACACTCCTTCCCAGGACCCACGGCTCTTCCTGCCTGTCCACAGGAAGGCAGTCCACCCAGAGCTGCCACTGACCCACTGGCAACTGCACCACCAGCTCCTGGTTGCTGGCCACACAGTACTGCTCACCCTGCAGCCGAGGAGTGGGATTTAAACAGTGATGAGGATGACCTAGACACCAAGAGGCTCTGCTACCCACACCCAAAAGCCCAGTCACATCTCGGCTCCACCCCTCATCTGCTGAGAGGCTGTTTCCAGGCCCTGGACAGAGATGGCAGGAGGGCATCAGCACCTGGGCTTTGCTCTCGTCTGTGGCCACGGTGCCGTCAGTCACCAGGCCTGAGCCCAGCACCTGCTCCAGAAAGCAGCCCAGCTTCTCGGCGTCATGCCCTGTGCTGGAGCCAGAGGTCTCAACCAGGAGGTAGAAGGCACTCTCTGGAAGGAAGCAGGAGACACAGAATGAGCAGGGCCCAGGCCATCGCTGCCAGTTAGGGCCTCTGCAGGCCAAGGCCCAGCCTCCCAGGGACAGCAGCTCTCTGGACAGGCCAGAAGCTCCCCGCTCAGCCGCAGGGCTGCAGGAGGACTCACGCTCTTAGCAGAGCCCTCCGACTCCCAACCCCAGCACCCCACGGAAGGCTGCTGCAGTGAACACCCCTGAGGGCTCAACCTTGGCCACTGCACAGAGGAACGTGCACGCCCTCACAAGGTTCAGCTAGCAGGAGTGGTGGCCATGCCTGTCATCCCAGCAGCTTGGGGGCTGAGGCAGGAGGGTTGCGAGTTCAAAGCCATCCTCAGCAACTTAGTGACACCCTGTCTCAAAATAAAAAATAAAAAGGGCTGAGGGTGTTGCTGAATGGTTAAGCACTCCTGCTTCAATCCATGGTCCAAAAAAAGAAAAACCAAAAGGTTCCATTTTGCATTATTTATGGAGAAAAATTTCAAGTTTGGAGTTTTGTCAAGGCTACTGTGGATTTTGCTCTGCATTTATTGAAATTAATAAATGAGAATTTACTGAGTAACATCTCTCCCTTAAAACTACATTAATATTTCTTCCAGAATGACATCACAAGTTCATGCTACTACAGAGAGAACACCAGTGTGAAGGACAGTTGGCTCACACAGGACGTACCACAGCCACATTGCACTCTGTCCAGAGCCCCTTCCCTGCTCAGGGACCCTCTGTCCATCCACAGCCTGTCCCATGGCACAAGAGGAATAGGGTAGGTGCTACCTAGCTACATAGGGCCAGTACCTTGCACTGGGCTGGCCAGGTGGAGATGCTGCTGGACCAGCTGCATGCACTCGGCATCCATGAACTCGAACGCAGACAGGACCTCCCCCAGCATGCCCCTGCAGGTGCTGAAGGTCTGCAGAACCTCTGCAAAGCCAGGGCAGCCTGCAAGGGTCACAGTGCATCAGAGGCATACAGTGACAGTCTGGAGAGCCACCCCACAGTCTGGCCAGGTCTCCCTTCAAGTAGCAATGCCATGAACCGGCAAGATTTGACTCCAGGAAACACCTGGCAAGCTGGCCAACATGGACATCTCAAGGTCACTACCAGTGTCCAGATCTGAACAGAAAATGCCTTAGAACCACCATGCAGCATTCAGGACAGTGGTGGAATCCGAGGGACTTGTCCTGAAGAGCCACAAGCCATGCCAAGCAGGGACATCTGGAAACAGCTGTTTCTGAACATGACCATCCACTCCCAGGAACTCACCCAGGACATGGGGAACCACCATCAGCTGGCCACCAAGAGTGGAGGCAGGAAGGAAGCAAGTGGACAGGAGGGAGGTAACAGCTTCAACCCTATGGAGGCGAGCATGTGCCCAGGCCTCAGGAATGACCCATGCCACCTGGAAGAAGCAAGGGCCAGTCCTCTCAGCAAAGGCTACTCCACCCCTGGCTTCCAGGGACCCCACAAGCAGTCCTTTCTGGGAGCTGCACACATGAGGATGCAGAGTACCACAAACAAGAACCAGAAGAAACCAGACACTAAAACAATCCCCACACACTCAAAGAGAGTGTGAACTGTCCAATCATGAAACATGGCTAAAAAAAAAAGTTCTCTGTGCTCAAAGACAGAAACACAGAAGTCGAACACACCTGAGATGTACAGGAAACTATGGAATGCAACAGCACACGTCTGCAGAAGTGATAAGACTTCTAGCATAAAAACTATAGTAATCACATCTGACGCTCGGCAGGGGGCAGAGGCCATCTGGAAAGTCTGACGCCACTTTAAAGGCAGCAGAAGCGGCATCAGTGAGCTGGATCAAGCACAGGAGACAAGCAGACACAGAGGGCAGGCAGGTCAAGACATGAGGACAGGCTGGGAGGTTCCCTGCTAAGCCCACCTCCTCTCCCAAAGGAGAGGACCACACCGGCCGCCCTTCAGGCAAGATGGCCACAAATTTCCAAAGCCACAGGCCTGAGAGGTTCAACAATTGCAGAGGTGAAGAGACAGGCACAACACAGCAAAGACCTCAGAAGACCAAAGGAAAAGAGAAGGTGGCCCAGGTAAGAGCATCAGAGAGAAGGTCCTCCTCCCCACACAACGGAGCCAGCAGCTGGTGAGCGACACTGTCAGTAGATGGAGGAAGCAAGGGCCAGGCTGCCGCTGGACACCTGTGAGTCTCAGGAGCAAGGGAGAGCAGGCAGTACAGATGCACCCAAGGCACAGGGCAGCCCTCAGGAAGTGCCAGGACAGACCTGCAGGACGAGACCCAGGTGGCATGCCTAATGCAGCAGCCAGGGAGCAAGACTGCCCACGAGGACATGGAGACCACCAGGGCGGATTCAGAAAAAGGTGGCAGAATCAGACAAGAGCCACTCTGAGGAAAGGCAAATGGGCCTCTGCGGGAGTCCTAAACTCCCAGCAGGCCACCTGAGGACTGTGATCCAGCAGGCAACAAAGCCATGCCAGGTAGCTGCGATCCAGACAGGCAGGGACAGGCAAGGTGTGACAGCAAGTGGGGCTGGGCTGAGGCCTGGGGCCTCTGGGGGACACTTGAGGTGTGCTGCTGGTGCACAGAATGGGAAGAAGATGGTTTCTCCCCTCACAGGAGGTTACCAACTTTCCCACGGCTGAGAGAGGAAGGCATCCCCTAAGAACCTCACCCCACATGCCACTTGAGCCCCAGCACAGGGGCACAGGAGCCCAGCACCTCCATTCCGTCACCAGAGGCAGAGCAAGGCTTCCAGTGCAGAGCCTGCTCTGTGGACAGGAAGGCCAGACCCAGACCCTGGCGCTCCTTTGTCCCCGTCCTTGCACTGACAACCTGGCCAAGGGATCCAGCCCGAGCAGCATGGGCCAGAACTGCCCCCCCAGCTGGACAAGCAGGGTGAGATACCTACCAAGAAAAGCCACATTCACAGCCTTGGGCCTGGGCGGGCACAAGATGGACACAGCGGTGATGACCCCCAGGGTGCCCTCCGACCCAATGAACAGCTGCTTCAGGTCATAGCCTGTGTTGTCCTTCCTCAGGGAGGTCAGGCAATCCAGGACAGTGCCATCTGCCAGTACCTAGAAGGAGAGGGAAGCCAGCCTTCACACACTGACCATCTCCCAACAAGTGACTTGCTGGTCTGCAGCTCCATCCTCCTCCCCTTCTCTGGCCATTACACAAGGAGAGCCAATCTTATCTCAGGGCACCCAGAAAAGGTAGCCACTCCTGAGCCCAACTGCCCCAGCCTCAGCCGTTAAAGAGCAAAACGGGCCTAGGTGAGACAAGGAGGAAAGAGTTCTTCCCCACTGGAGCCAGAGCCCAGCCTCCCATCACCACACAGCAGAGACGCTCACTGCCCAGCTGCAGTGGTCACCTGAAACAGGACAGGAGGCACAACTATGGGGACAGGGACCCAAGGGCCCTGTACGGAGAGCTGCCTGAATCCTTCTAGCTGTGCCAGAAGACAGTCTCACGGATGCAGTGCCAGAGCTCAGGAGCTAACATGCATCAAATAATACACAGCCCCAGAACACACAGCCAGGAGCCGGTGTCAACCTGGGAGACAGAGCAGAGAGCCTGCCCTCCAGAAGCCACAGGGCACCAGAGGACAGGGCAGGGTCCCTGTGGCTCTGCTGGCTGGCCTTGGCTGACCATTCTTCACGCTCTGACTCCTGGGAGATTGGCCCAGGCAGCGTCTCAGAGCTAGTCAGGTAGACTAGGAGGCGGTGACCTGGTGTCATGCAGGAAGCCAGAGTGGGGGCCCCTCAGCTCCACGGTTGTGGCAACCTGCAGGTCCCCAAGGGGCCTGAGCCAAGGGCTGTTAAGATGGGTCTCTGATATGCAATGTGGCTGCCAGCTTAAGGTGGCCTTGTGCATCAGCACCTCTGCCTAGGCCTGAGAAGAGCCCAGGGGAAGCCAGGACACCTGGGGTGGGGTCCCACACTGCTGGCCCCAGCTCACCACTTCCAGGCCCAGCACAGTCCCACGCAGGGAGCCATATCGCAGAAACCGCAGGCCGCCGGCATTGGTAGCCACATTGCCCCCAATGTGGCAGCTGCCCTTGGCTCCCAAGTCCAGCGGCATGACGAAGTCCTGCTCCTGCACATACCGGCTCAGTCCCTCCAGCACACACCCTGCCTGGCAGGTCAGGATTCCTGCAGAGAGCAAGTAGGGCCACCCTGGGCTCCGGCTCCCAGGCCAGCAAGAGTTCCACTGCTGGGCTACCCCACAGCTGGCCACTCACAGCCAGGCAGAGCAAGAGACCTCTGGCCCGCCTCTCCCAGACTCCAAGGCCTCTCTGTGACTGCAGAAATGCTGG